CCAGCAAGCCCATATTGTTGAGTCAGCGCTGACCCAGCTCCCCGCTGTCCCCAGGCTAACCCCGGTCAGGTGGAGCCGCTACAGCGCCGAATACCAGGATCCCCAGACCGACAAGGAGTATTTCCGAAAGCCCGCCGCCGAGCTGACCGAAGAGGAGCGCTATGTGCAGGAGCTCAGAAAGACTCAGCTCATCAAAGCTGCCCCGGCCACCAAGACGGGCTCGGTGTTTGAAGACCCAATGGTCAGGTTCGTGGAACACTTAACCAGCTTCCGTCTTCTTGCAAACTACCACTTTTACGCCAGGGAGGGGTCTGTGAGCCCACCTTAGGGAACTCAACATATGCCTTTTCTCCCGAAAGTAAATTCACCAACATGATGATGAAGGGAGGAAACAAGGTGCTGGCCCAGCAGCTCATGGAGCAGGTAAGCGCCCTGGGCTCCTGGCCCCCCCTCTTACCTAGCTAGAGCTTTGTGTGTTTGCGGCTGTCATTTTACCTTGCAAGAGAATAGATTCCTACCCGGGCCTTAAAAGTTAGCTTCTCTGTATGTATGTGTAACATGTCATAAAGCAGAAGCTTGTGTGTCACTGTGATGCTGGGGGCTAGACTAGACCACTGCTATTTCAAATACCGCCAGGGTCACCCGTGGTGGACAGGTCAGACTAGGGAGGAGGAGGGCCTGGCGAGCTGCTGCTCTTAGTGTTTTGGCCAGTGATGGTGCTGGAAGAGGTGCCCCTCGGCCATCACCATAGATTTTGAGGATGGCACAGAAACGGGCAGCCTTCTGTTCTGCTGCACACTGGGTGGCTGTGATTCAGAACCCACACCAGGGCACCTAGCGGCCAGTGCCCTCTACCCACCCTTTCTGTCCATTCCAGCCTGGCACTAGGGAGGCACCAAGGAGCTGTGCCTGGGGTGGGCTGAGGGGGAAGCTGCATTGCCCTTAGAAACGGGCCGAGGGGAGAGAAGGGCAAGGCACAAGCTGGCCCCTGTAGGGAGCCTGGGGAGCCTCTTGCACCCTGTTCTCCCTACAGACACTGGAGGCTGTGAAAAGGAAGCAGTTTGAGAAGTACCATGCCGCCTCGGCAGAGGAGCAGGCAACCATCGAGCGCAACCCCTACACCATCTTCCACCAGGCTCTGAAAAACTGCGAGCCTGTGATCGGGCTGGTCCCCATCCTCAAGGGCGGCCACTTCTACCAGGTGCGGGGAAGCAGAGGGTTCCCCTGTGAATGAAGGGGAGGGGCCCTGGGGTGGAAGGGCCCCAGGGTTGGGCCAGGATGGACACCTCCATAGGGAATAAGGACTGTGCGTCCCATGCAAGAGCCCGGAAGGGGAGGGAGAGAAGACCCAGGTGGCCTGCTCCATCCCCACGCTTCGCTGCCTGAAACTGTCACATTTCACGTCAAGGGGCCATGGAGACACTCCATCTTTGTAAACGCCAGTGTCTGGCAGAGACGGCGCTTGATCCATTCAGAGCTAGTCGCCTCTGTCGTGGTACTGTGATGGGGCGTTTTTTGTGGGCTTCCTTGTCTTCCCTTCTCTCCTCTGTGTCCCATCCATTCAGGTAGGGACTTCCTCGTGGTCTGCATCCTGTGTCCGGCATGGTACTGGGCCTGAGTGGAGGCCTGGCCAACAGGTCTTGGATAGAGCGTCTTCTTCTGAAGCACCTGTGCCTTGCGGTGCCTGAGTTACTGCAGCCCTCACTGCCACCACGTCCTTTCTGACCCTCACAGGGTTCAGCCGTCCCTGTGGGCCCCCCAGGCTGTGGCTCTTTAGGGGTCTCTTTAGCAGTCACCCCAGTAAGAGGATTTTCCCATCTGGTGCTGATGGCATTGTGGCCAAGCCCCACTATGGGGAGCAAAGGAGCATTTGCTGAGTGGGTGCCTCTCGTGTCTGCCACAGTGAGGTCAGCCGGGCATGGAGGAAGCTCAGTTAGGAAAGGATCGGCAGCCCCCTCTCCACAGGAGCCTCGGCAGGGCCAGAGCAGAGGAGCCCGTGCTGTTCCCTGGAGCTCAGGAAAGTAGGAGGTCTGTCTGTCCTGCCAGGTCCAGCTTCCCAGTGTCCTCTCTCACCCAGGTCCCTGTGCCCCTAACCGACCGGCGCCGGCGTTTCCTGGCCATGAAGTGGATGATCACCGAGTGCCGAGAGAATAAGCATCGGCGGACGCTGATGCCGGAGAAACTGTCACAGGAGCTGCTGCTGGCTTTCCACAACCAGGGCCCGGTGATCAAGAAGAAGCAGAATATGCACAAGATGGCCGAGGCCAACCGCGCGCTGGCCCACTACCGCTGGTGGTAGAGGGCGCTCGAAGCTGCTCTGGGTCCTTGTGAAGTCCCTGCAGGTTAAAGGCGCAGCTTCTTTGTAAGGAAGGCCGGGCCTTGCCAGCATGCATGTGCCTGCTTCATTCTTCTGGGGGGGTGGGGGAGCTTAGAACTTGCCCCCCTTGGCTCATCTCCTTACAAAGGGGAACATGGTGACTTGGGGATTTCGTCTGAGGCACTGGGGCCGACCTTTGGCAGGTAGAAAGGGAAGCAGGGGTCGTTTCGGAAAAGGTTTATTAGAAAAACTTCACTGAACAAATGGCGCACGTGCTGCAGTGCCACCATTCATTGAAACCGACAGGAGAAAAGGGGCTGGTTTCCAAGGTGGCCCCCAGATAAAATGTACAAAATCCAATTCTGGTGTGACTTGTGCTCTGACCTCGTGACGTTCCAAAGCACCCCACAGGCGCCTGTTTTACAGATGGAGAAACGGGCCCCAAGGTAGCTGCCATCCCAACAATTGCACGGTGCAGTGGCTACGAGTTGCCTTCTCTGCTGGCAGGTGGAAGGTGGTGGGAAATGGACCGAGGGCCTCTGGTGGGGCAGGAGATCACTGGCAGGCCCAGCCTAGGGGACCAGGCCTGTTTGGGCCGGGGATTCTCAGGGCAGGCCCGTGGCGTGAGTGGGCAGCACCTGGGGAGGTGGTACAAGTTCAGGAGCAAAGACGCCACAGCTAGGCTGGGTGGTGCTGGCCTCGTCCCAGGAGGCCTAATCGGTCACCTCACTGTAGTAGTAGTTCTGGGCCGCTGGGGTGGTCTTCCAGCCGGCCGCTCGGAACTCAATGATCTCCAGCAGCAGCAGCTGGGCCAGGGAGCTGAGGCCAGTAGGAAGCAGGAAGCCGTCCCGGATGAGAACAAAGAGTTCGTCCATGCGCTGCCCGTTCATCTTCTCCAGCTGCTCCCCAACCCGGTGCAGCTGCAGCACTAGGCAGTCCACCTGCAGGGCCGAGCATCACACAGGTAGCCGAGGATGGCGCCATTCGCGCCCAGTGGCTCCACCCTCCTGCCACCCAGGGGGTGCTGCCGTCCGCTCCCATCCAGACAAAATGTTTAACTGCCTCCCCACTACTGTCTGGCCCTGATTTGGTTCCTGGGCCAACTGCCCCCACAGCTGGCCATAGTCCCACAGTGCCTTCCACAGGTCAGCTTTCCTGGGAAGTCCCGGAGCCATAAGTGTTGAGACTAAATTTCACAGCTGGTATGTGGCAGCATAAACGCTCCCTCCAGGCGCCTGTTCCAGAAAGTGGAACCCTCAAACACCCACCCACCCCAGAGGTAGGCTAGCTCCCAATTTGAGCCAGACTGCCCACAACCTCCACAGGCCACCCACCTCCTCCTCCTTGCTCAGGCTGTCAGGCTGGGCCAGCCGGAAGAGGCAGTCGTAGACGGGGTTCACCAGGGCCATCATGGGCATATTGTTCACCTGGGGGCAAGGGCCAGAGCAAGAGCTGAATGTCAGGAGCAGGCCTCCTGGTCCCCAGGACATAGGCTGTCTGCCACCCAGGTGGCTGCGGTGGCCTCACCCACCCTCAGGTAGTCAAAGATGTTGCAGATGAAGGTGACGTAGCAGACCCAGCCCTGCAGGGAGCGGGCTCGCAGCTGCTCGGGCCTGGTACTCCAACTGCAGCCTGTTGAGGAGTCCCCGGCGGAAGAAGCTCTGGCCAGCTTGCTTGCTCTCCGCCTAGGAGCCAGAGAGGGGCTGGAGCAGCAGGGGACTGTGCCCTGCTACCCCAACACTCACAACTGATGACCC